CTCCTTAGTACCAGTTAATGGAAATTTTTGTACAATTTATGTTTACAATGTCTATGGTAATGTGGTGATCTCTTGGGATATAGACCAATGTTTTCGGGTGATGAAAAATTTTATAACCCAGTTGTTTCACCTATGAACAGGGAACAGAATAAAACCTTCAAAGGCAAGAGTCAAATAACAATTTATAGATTTGCTCTTCTGTACTGGGCAGTCTAAAATGCCTTTTTAAAAGGTGACTTTTTTATATCCAGAAATACTTGGTGGGAAGGATACAGCTAAAGTCTAACTGCAAAGTCTTACTTATGTTAGAAAACAGGGGTTACCTGAATATGGGGGAAAGGACAGAACATTTTCTCTTTTCTACTTTTCTGATATTTAATGAGAGTTAAACCAAGGTTATCCTACAGCAACTTTGAATTGTGAATAAAGAGCAAAAGGAGAGGATGATTCTTCAAGATTTCACTTTGTGATCAGAATATTAGGGTTGAATACAACAGCTCTCCAGAATTATATTATACTGTAGTTCAAAAAACATAGATGAGATCCTGACAAATCAGAGGAATCAAACAAAAAAGCAAGATACATTCTTGAACAAGAATGCGTTACTCTTCTGATCTCCAGTACAGGTGTTGGATTAGGCTATCATTTTGCAATAAATTAATTTCTATCAATGAAGCTGAGGAAGACATCAAACAGAAAGCTTTAAAAGCATATGTTGGAAGTCTCAAGATGCAGTTATGGTGTTTGGCAATGAAGAGACAATGAAGATACTTTTCAGGAAGGTCTTTTTTATCATATCTCTGGTTCAAATTTCAGTTTTTTCTTTCTTTTTTCCTCTTCTCCTTTTTCATTTTACTGAAGTCATGTTCAGCATTCATAATACAATACTCAACCTACCACTAAAGAGTCCACTTAGTATCTCAAAGCTAACAAGTAACTTTTTGGAACAGGATCTTGTCACAGAGAAAGGAAGGAGGTGAAATAACAGCATCTACAGCACTTTCATCCAGGGCATTTACCAAAGAAGGTAAAAAACCCTGCACAGAGGGATGGAGATCTTCCAGAGACCAAACAACATGGCTTTGAAGGAGATGCAGATTATAATGCAGATGCTCTCTAGTTCCTATCTCAAGTGCTTTACTGCTGTGGTGATCCAAGAAGTATAATTTGATGTAATACTATGTCTATCTACCATAAGACAAGAGGAGCCTACCAAGTGGAACAAAGGCAGGAATGCAGGATAAAGTCCAGAAGAAAGATATTTCTATATTAAAATTATTTGCTATACCTATATTCTCTAATACTATATATTTCATAAAAAACAGATTTTGCTATTTTATAAGTGTGCTGTAATTGCTAGACAGTATTACATGTCAAAGGGGAATATAGCCTACACATAGGGTTTAAGTAAGTATTGTCTGTTAATAATCACCAAATTCTTCTATGCTTTAAGCATATTTCTCCAAGCTACAATAGTTTATTCTTTGAACAGAGATGGAAAGTTCAACAAGTACATTTAAATTAGTAACAGTAACCGTTTCTGAAGTTAGTATTGGTGACTTCTATGCATTTACATTTTAGGTTATCATTCACTGCTGGTCCACAATCAGAATTTTCCAAAACTCGGTAAAGAGAAGTGCAAAAGAATTGGTCTCGCAACATAAACAGTGCTCAAATGATCCCACTGTATTCAGTGTCTTCTAAGGATTATTTCTGCCCTTTTATGTTGGATTTACAGAAAGCAAGCACACGTTAGTATAGATGAGACTTCTTAATCCAGCCTAGCTGAGTTCTCTACTAATCTGAAGCTGTGACTGGCACACAATCACACATGGGAGCTTTTGTTATCCAATCAGTTATTAAACTTTCCATTAACCACAAATATAGTCAAGATTCTCAGTCTTTGCCTTTGTCGTGGTTTAAGTCCAGTCTGAAAAAACAGGTAGCCATTAGCTCACTCCCCCCCCCCGCCCCCCGGCTTCCTTCCCCTGCTCCCAGAGGGATGGGGAGGAGAATCAAAGGAATGTAACTCCCACAGGCTGAGATAAGAACAGTCCAGTAACTAAGGTATAACACAAACCACTACTGCTACCACCAATAATAATAATGATAAAGGAAATAACAAGGGAAGAGAATGCAACAGCTCACCACCCCCCTACCGATACACAGCCCGACCTGAGCAGTGATGTAGCCCTTCCAGGTAACTGCTCCCAGTTCTACATCCTGGGCATGATGTGCTGTGCTATGGAATACCCCTTTGGCTAGTTTGGGTCAGGTGTCCTATCTCTGCTTCCTCCCAGCTTCCCCTCCTCCCTGGCAGAGCATGTGACTCAGAAAGTCCTTGGTCAGAGTAAACATTCTGACCAGCAACTAAAAACACTGGTGTTATCAGCGTTGTTCCCAGGCTGAAAGTCAAAACCACAGCACTGCACCAGCTACTAAGAAGGAGAAAAATGACTGCTCCTGCTGAACCCAGGACAGTCTTATACAAGGTTTAGGTGTTTTCGCACAACAGACCTACAACTGTTGAATGTTGCCTCAAACGTGTATGTAGCACTGCTACACACATGGTGACAGTCACGAAACACACACGGTGCTAAACTGCAGCCATTCCTCCCTGTACCTGTGATCAGTACACAGACTCCTAGAGCTGGAGAGAACCTGTGGCTCTGGGATGCAAACAGGCAAGGTGAGATACCAGCATCAGGACTCTGATTGTATTAACAGGCCTTAATGGTCCTAATCAGCCTCACCTGGGCCTTCACCCACAATCTCTTCCCACAGCACAGAATGAGTAAACAGATAGGTAAAGCTGTAATTGTGAGCATCACACTGAATGTCAGACAGGCCTGAGATAGCTAAATCTGATTAACTGGTGGCCTACTTGTTATGCACTAAAATGAGGAATAAACCTGTAAATGCCAGGTTGCTCTCAGATTCTAATACTTTCATGCTGTAAGGGTTTATGTTCTCCTTTCAGTCTCTTGCTCCTTATGCTCCAAGAACCCAACCCTTCCTTAAGACACCCACTCTACCATGCAGTTTTTGCTTAATTAATGCACAGTTTGCTCATCTCTCTCATCTTTTCTCCTTTAGCTATGTCAGATATACATACTGTAAAACATGTAGTGTAACTTCTTGAATGAAGAATCTAGTTGCTATGGTTCAGTTTGAAAACCATTAGCTAATAAGGTCTACTGCTCGCTGAAGTAAGAGCTCTGCTAGGAGACCCCTGTTGCTATTTTCTGATATATAGAATTTCTACAACAGAGCACATCAAACTCAAAAGTGACTGCAATGTTAGGTCAGCTCTTGCGTGTGAGCTTCCTAAATTAAAACTATAATAAATAGAAAGGGATGAAAGTGCTGTAGATACTGATATTTCACCTCCTTCCTTTCTCTGTGACAAGAGCCTGTTCCAAAAATCATATTAGAACTTTTAACTGTTACCCATCTTACACAGAAAGATGTCAAGTCTTTGATCCTCCAGTGCCTTGTAAAATTTTCAAATCCCTAACCTCTCACTAAATGCCAGTGAACATTTCCAACTGGAAACACAGCACAATGCTGGGTAAAAAGTGAAACTCCAAGTTACACAGCATTACTGCAGATGGCTGTGCGTACAAGTGTCCTTCAGCACGCATTGTGTGCATCACCATTGTCTGACCCATCTGGAGAAACCCAAAATGAATAGCACTGAACACTAGCAGATATTTTTGAGAATAGTGGCCAAAACTATATCCATTATTTTGGGTCTGGGTTTTTGTGTGAGTAATCACTTCCTAGTGATTCATGGTGTGTGAAAACTACTGTAACAGCTACTGATCTGAGTCCTGCAGCTTATTACAAGCTATACCTGCTCTTTCTTTAGCCTATATTAGGTAGCAGAGGTAACCAGAAACCTATTTTCTTACTCTGATCTTGATCTACTCGACAAAAAAAGCCTCTACCAACATCAGAATAGGATTGGCCACCAGATGTCACCCATCTCCTAGTAGCATCCGCTAAATCTGCGAATGCAGGCTTGGGAAAACACTATTCTCCAGAAGCTGTGCTAAATAGAGACTGTCTCGCCACTATAAAAATATAGTTACCTCGTTACAAAACTATATTATCTTCCTCTGCTCAAATGGCTCCAAAACACTGAAGCTCTAGTAGTTTATAGAGTCTGTTTTTGAGACAACCTAAGAAGTAGATGAACACCCAACAACTCCTGGCACAAATACCTGTCTCTAACACTCAGGAAAATGTTAGCTGATGTAATGCGTCCACCCAGTGCAGCCAAAACCACAGCTGCTACCAAAGACAAGATCCGCGCCTAGCCTTGTGCAATGTCGAGGCTGGGGGCAAGCCCGGGGAAGGCAGAAGAGAGCTGTTAAGGAACCTGTTTCAGGTCAGCCAGCGCTCTTCAAGCCATTACCTATCTAGCTCTGCTTCCAGGGTCTCTGCTTGACAAGCCCCTCAGCACCGTGAGGCGGCAGCGTCGGCTTCCCCAGCCGCTCCGCAGCGGGATCCTCAAGGCCTGAGCAGGGCCCACCGCTCCGATGGAACATCGACCCTTCAGCCGGACACCGGCCAGCGTGAGACGAAAATGTCCCGCTCTTTGGAGGGCGAGGCCGTGACTGAGGAGAGCCGAAGCACCCCACCAGCACCCCCTGAGCGGCTCGCTCCGCACACTTACGACAGCGCGTAGCGGCTGCGCATGAGCGGCTGTGCTCATACCCGCTTGCGGGCGCGTTCTCTTCACACCCGCGGCGGCAGCCGCCGCCACCCCCCGCGCGCTCCGACGCTAGGCAGGCACTTTGCAGACGCTCCCTCGCTCTGCGCGACCTGTGACCGGCGCTTCCGGCCGGGCGGCCGGCGGGGCTGGTTGTTCGCGCGTGCTCCCCGTTCTGTGCGGCTGCCAGCCGCCGCCGCCGCCTGCACTCGGGCGGGTGCTGCTGCGCCGTGCTGCGGCCCTGCTCGCGGCTGGCAGTTTGCAGACGCTCCCTTGCGCCCGCCCGCCAGCCTCCAGGTGGCCCGGCCCCCACAGCGGGCGCGGCAGGCGGCAGCCGCCCCTCGGCCCGCGCCGGCCCCCGCCGAGGACCATGGGCGGTGCGCTTTTCCCGGCGCGGGATGCTGCGCACGGGCGGCGCCGGAGAAGGTGAGGCAGAGAGGGGTTGTGAGTAGTGGGGGACCGGTGCCATGCCCAGCCCAGCCGTGGGGGGTCGCAGCTGCCGCTGCCCCCCCTCAGGCCGCTGCGGCTCCTCAGGCCGTGAGGGAGAGCGGTCTCCTGAGCCCTTCGTCGTGTCTGCCGCATCTGTGCGGGGCGGGGGTCGCCCCTTATCGCCGGGACCGGCCCGGATCAGGGGAGTCGCCTGCCCGGGCGTCGCGGGGAGCTGCGAGGCGGGGCCGGCTGTGGGCGCGGGTGCGGAACGGGAGGGAGGCAGGAAGGGGGGGTCGCCGAGGCAACCGCTTTGGTGTGGCCGGGCCCGTGCTTGCCGCGGCCCGGTCGCCCCCGTCACCTTGCGTAACGACCTTCCGCGCCCGGCGTGGTGGGGAGTGACTCCGCGGGCGGCTACCCCCGAATGCAGCAGGGGCCCGGGAGGCGTCTGCGGAGGGGGCGCGGCCCCGGGAGCCCGGCGGTGGCTGCCCGCAGTTTAAGAGGGCGGGCGAGCCTCTGAGGGAAGTGCGGGTGGCAAGCGCTGCCGTGGATGGAGGATGAATCTCCAGCGAAAGTATGTTGAGATCTTCCCCTTACGATACGATTTACAAGCTTTCGGTTCTACCCGATGCTGGTTTTGTTTCCTTTTCAGACTTCGTAAGCGTCTAGGAAGTGAATCATAAAAATGTTCCTGAAAACTGGCATCTCTGTGCCAGTTGTGCTTTGGTCTGCCATGCCTGCTACTTTCTTTTTGCCGAAGGTGTTGAGCTCTAGATTGGACAAAACAGTGCTCTTCATTTGTCAGGTTCAGTATTTCTTGCATATCAACATCATCTTGTGGTTTATCGTAGGGGTTTATCGTTCTGTGAAGAGCAGTGACTGATCTGATGCCATTGCATAGGTGTGAGGACGTACATTAAAGAGGAATTTTGGGGCCTGTTTCATTGTCTCCCTTGAGTTTTAGCAACTATTTAAGGTAAACTTACTTTTAAATATATCTAGGAGGAAAATAAATGTCACTCAGTTTTGAGAAACTGAATCTAGGTGGAGGCTTTCATTACTGTTAACATAGGGAGTGTAGGTTCCATCTTTTTCCAGCTACAGTATAATCCCAATCTCATCTTTTGAGTGCGTATTTTTGTTTCTGCCATTGTGGTCAGTAAACTTGAGAGAATTAATTCTTAATTGTTATATTAGGTCTTGATACATCAATGTCTCTTGATAACTACAGCAATAATAGAATATTCTTTAAATGAAGACACACTCTGAGATTCATGTTGTTCTAGTATATTTGTCTAAAAAAAAATCTTTGTCACCTTGTCCCCGTGAAATAGTATGATAGGTTTTTCAACAGCATGACTCATAATCCTAAATACAGGAATGAATTTTTGATTTAGTGCAGAGCAAGTGCTTTATCTCAGCTAACAGCCTTGTGCGTAGAAAATGCAAGTAGGGAGGTGGGAGTGTCTGGTACTGTATCTGTTAATCTTTGTCCTCAGGAGGACAGAATTCAGAGTTGTTTACAGGCTAGGGTTATATATATCTTTACTCCCAAATCAACGAGGTGATCCCAGTTCCTTGAAAATACTTTTGCTGTTTCATAAAAGACCAAAAAGCTTTCAGAAAAGGAGGAACCAGTTAGTTCTTGTTATTTATTATTGAAATAATTTTGCCTAGGGACACTGAGTCCAATTTAGTCTGAATGGGTGATTTACACTTTTCCTTCTTCATTTCTGTGTAATGACTGTTCTTCATGAGAAACTCTGTTTACTGGAACACCCACAGTTGACATAATTATTGGTGGCTGTACCAAGCCTAATAGTAGAAAAAAAAAAAACCTTGCTTTTTCTTTTCTTTCTTTCTTTTTTTTTTTTTTTTCTTTCATTCCTGGTGGTTTTCTTATGTATAACGTGACTTTCATCACTGCTTTCAACCCTTTACTTCTATGAGATGATGTAGGGAACAGTTTACTCCTAAATTGGCTCATGGAGCAGTATTTTAGCAAAACGAATGTCTGTTTTTCATAATTCAATGTGCACAGTCCTTTTTCTGTTGCTCTTATGTAGAATATGGATTTATTTTGTACAAGCTGTATAAGGATTAAATAAGAACACATGCTTCCTCTTTTCTGGGTGACAAATTTATCTTGCTGTCCAGGAAGAAGGCAGCTTATACAGCCTTGACTGAAAAGATGCTAAAAGGCAAAGTGACTGAATATAAGAAGATCAGGTTCTTTAAGCTCCCAAAACTAAACTGCCTAAGCAGCCAGCAGCACTGGGTGCAAAGCATCTAAAATCCTTTAATATGTTTCATGAAGTAGAATCTGGTAAAATAATGAAGTATTCTGAATTCCTAAAATTACTTTGAATAAAGACAGTTGCTCTCCAATTTGAAGTCATCTCTTTCCAGCTAGAAGATTCCTTTCCTCTCCCTTGCTTAAAAAAAACAACTTTATGCCATTTACTTCTATGCTTGAGATAATATGTAGAATTTTACTAACACTATTAATTTCCCTTAAAGTTTTAATTTTTTTTCAGTTTTGATCACAATGGTTTTGGCATTGTATGCCACTGTTATCTAACAAGTTCACTCTGCTTTTCCTTCTGTTTAATGAAATGGCTTAGTATTCAGCTTTCTTCCTCAACTTGGCTCTAAAATTTTAATAGAAATTCGAGGACATTTGGCATTCACAGCCCTTCACTGATATAGTAACTTGATTATTAGTTATGTGGTAGGTGTTTTGGAGGTTTATTTGAATGCAGTGTTCATGTTTTGAGCAGATTGAGATTCAGAGAAGAATGAAAATCAGAGAATGGGAGAATTAGTTCAGTTTTATTGATAAGTGATAAGGGGGACTTGGTGGCAAATATTTGCCAACAGATTGTCTGACTCCGTGTATGTTTAGTCTCTTAAATAGATGGTGGAAAGAAATACAGTATGGTAAATGTCAGAAAAGCTAGGTTCTGATAGTGTTTTCATTTATATCACATTATTCCCAAAGTGTCTGCAAAACTCTTCTGGTTAGCCTGGTTTGGAACCAGCGCACTATTCCAGCAGCAACTCTTGGTAATGAACGTCAGAAGCATCTGCTGAAGGAAATGAACATGCTGCACACAGCTAATCATCTGTGAATCTGATGAGTGGAAACTCTTTGAGGAATCAAGCAGTTTAGCTATTACTGCATCTTCAGTTTAAAAAATTCTTAACTGATTGGACTAGATTAAGGTCATCCTTTATTCCACTTTTGCTGAGATAGTATTTATGCATCTCTGTGTTTCATATACCACATGTGCACATAAACTTAAACAAAAAAAAAACAACAACCCAAATTAACCCTAAAACCCCTTTTGTCTTCCATATTTGAGTATAAAAAGTGGAATTTTATATTGGTCTCTGTGTATGTGTGCACACTCAAACCCTCTTGTTTTCTCCCTTAGCCTCCTGTTGCTGGCAAACATTGTAGAAGCTGTAAAGGCTTCATTATCTGTTTCACTTTAATTTCTTGAAAAGCCCAGACCTGTAATATAGTGAAGTATAAGTTCTGTGAGGAATAAGTCTCTTTCAGATTATGTTTTGATAGTGGTTTAGTTTCCAAAACTTCTGACTCATCTTCTATCAAACTTCTTGTTTATTTGAATCAATAACTCATGGCTACAAAGAGAAGGTAACTAGAGTTTTATACAAATTTACATTAGTTCATTAAAGGGTTTTGGATTTTGACATAGGTTCTATTTAATTGGGTGGTATTTGAGGAGAAGCCATCTCAGTGGTAGAGAATTGGTAACACAAATGCTGACACAGCTTCCCAGAGGTGAGGCAGCAGGTTTTTGTGACAGTGCTAGCTTTTATCAGGGCTTATTCTTCTATTCAAACTGGAATAGTTCATCTGTCTAGAGATGAATTTGTGGGCTTTTGTTCATGCTGTTCAACAAGAAAAAGTCTTGCCTGCTTTAATCAGTGAATCCTGGAAGCCCAAGGTCTATGCTTGCACCCAGGCCAGGGCATAGCTCCTTTGAGGGACTTCTGTTAAAATTAATGACATTTTCGTATGTCTGTGGCAGCTTGTGTAGTAGGGAAGCACCACAGTGGAAGAACAGAGAGGAGAAAATTAGTTTGGGGTACAGGGATTCCCTCTTAGAGTGCTCTAAGCAGCAAAGTCCTTTTCATGAGGAGAGCTTAAGTCAGTGCTGTGGTTCATTTGATTTATTATTTATGGTTTGTAAGAGTTAAGAATCCTGTGATCCTGGCCCTTTGAGTCTCACAAGGTCTTATTTCTGTTAGCTAACTATATTTCTTCATACATCCCACAGGCATTTCAAGCTATTTAAACTTGATTATTAGTCTAATGTATTGGTGTTTGTCTTACTGATTTTTGTATCCCGATTTTTATATCCTGATAAAAGCTGTTGAAAGCTATCAACCACCTCTTTCAACCTTGTTTTTCTAGACAAAAGGATTTAAGGGTATTTGTCAGTTACAAGTAGCAGGCATAACATGATTTTACTTTTGGGGACTGTTGCTACTGGGTCATGTAGTTTGTATATACATTGTTGCTATATAACGTATTACTTCTGGTTACATTTTCCTAGAATAGTTTTATAGCTAAAACCTTTTCTTCACTTTTGTTAGAGTTAGGTAATGAAGTTTATTGCTGTTTCCATTGCATGTTAAGGTTGTGTTCCTCCCTTCCCTAGGAAACAGAGAGTATACATGACTGGTACAGCGTTTTATATAACCTGTATTAAGGTCCTGGCAAAGCATTTTGAGATAGCTACTAATCAAGTAATAGATTACATATTAGGAAAAATTTCTTCCCCGAAAGGGTTGTCGAGCACTGGAACAGGTTGCCCAGGGAAGTGGTGGAGTCACCGTCCCTGGAGGTATTTGGAAGAATCAAAGATCTTAAAGGCCTTTTTCAACATAAATGATTCTATGATCTGAAATTGTCATAAAAGGTACAAGCTACAGTGAGTTACTGTTCTTGCTGAAGGTTATATTTT